GTCTGGTACGCATCTCATCTTGTTGGGTGTGGAGTTTCCTACTGCCCTAAACAATCTTTAAAAATCTTCATGGTGTGCCAGTATTGTCCTGCGTAAGTATCCATGCAAGAGTTTGCTTTCAATAACACCAAGTGACATTTAATATTATTAAGTGATCATATAACAACAACCACCAGCTCCGAGTATACTTTAGAAAAGAGGAGAGGAATAAAAATGGTTTTCTTTAGTTGAAGCATAGTTAACCAAATTTTGAGAAAGACCATTTTTTCCTGCCAAAGCATAATATTCTTCCGGAACTCTTTCCTCATGCCTAAAGAGGCATGTGTTTTCCCATCTCCATAGCCATTCCCTAGACCCAGGGTTACCCCAGGAGGACGTGCAGTGTGTATGAGCAGTTTTTATAGGTTTAGATCCAAAATAATGACAGTTTTATGCTAGGCTAAGGGTGAAAATGGGGTAGCAAATGGAACCTGAATAGAACAGTGATTGCAGCCATACTTTGGCTCAAAGTATCTACTCTTGTTTATAAAAAGTGATTAGTTGGTACCTTTTAAAAATGATTAAATCTTAGACTTCAATGGATTTTAGAGGAATACTAATATATTTCAAATAGTCATAGAAAGATAACATCTTTAAGTTTTAAGTTCTCAAAATTTGCCACAAAAATCACTTAAGAAACTATCTACTAAGATCTCAACTGATAGCCAGAAGCCTACCCATCCTCAAGCGATTATGTCTGAGTTTACAACCTACCCATTCTTTTTAGACTCATTTTTGACACATAAGAATTTTCCCACTAGAGACAGAAACTCCAGTTACCCCATTGCAACAATTGCTCAGGTCCAAGATGGTAGCCCAAGAAATGAGTGAATGGGTGAATTATTTCTTGTTTGGTGATTTGAAATAATTACATCATTTAATAGATATCCATCTATGTTTGGGTACTAATTTAGGAGGTAAATTAGATGAGATGTATTTTCAGGAAACTGACATCCTACTTTTCTAATTTCAGTGGTAATGTTTATAATAGACTATATACCCCTTACAACAAAGGAAAACCGTGTGGCTCTTGTCCAAATGACTGTGACGATGGACTCTGCAGTAAGTCTGGCACAATAACTCACTGGGATAAAAAAAAAATACATTTCTTTTCAGCAATTGTTGAAAATACTGTGAAAAGAGATAGGTACATAGAAGAAAGTACAGTAAATATTTTATTAACCTATTTTATTCAGTGCTGCTTTTAAAAAATAGAAAACTTTCTGGGTGCCATTGGCTCACACCTGTATCCTAACCAACAGAAGGCTGAGATCTGAGAATCAAGGTTAGAAGCCCACCAAGACTGGAAAGTCCATGAGACACTTATCTCCAATTAATCACCAAAAAGCCAGAAGTGGAGCTGTGGCTCAAGTGGTAGAGCACTAATCTTGAGCAAAAATGCTCAGGGACAGTGCCCTGACACCGAGTTCAAGCCCCAGGGCTGGCATACATGCACACGCACACGTGTGCACACACATGCGCGCATGCGCACGCACACACACACACACACACACAGGAGAACTTCCATGCTCCACAGGACACAGTGATCTGGGTGTAATGATGTCAGCCTCCATTCTCAGTCCCCTCCCCCTCATTGACATTGAGTTTGTGTCATTGCTGAGCAAGAACATCATCCTGAAGTGACAAGTTTATTTGTTTGTATTTCAGCCAACAGTTGCCCTTACAACAACAAATATTCTAACTGCAACTATTTGAAACAAACAGCAAGCTGTGAACACCCAATGGTCAAAAGTAATTGTGCTGCCTCCTGCTATTGTAATGGCAAAATTTACAATACGCAGATCACAGACAACTAGAGCCCTATGGAGGATGATCACACCATCTGCTTAGACTTCACATGTACAACCTGGAAAGTTGGAGGCCTGTTTCCTGCAAATCTGACTCAAAACTAAAAAGAGTTTTTCCTTTTCTTCTGTATTTCCTTCTTGTTTTTTTTTATAGAAATCACTTTCCTGCTAAGAATTGAAGAATAATGAAATCCCTGTATGTCTCCTGGGACTTTGTTGTATAAATTTATAATGTGAATTGAATCAAACAGAGGATTCTATAAGTTGTATTTTTCTATGACTATGGTCGTGAATACTATAAATTATAGAATCATTGCCCCAGTAAAACTGGGACTAAAATCACAGAATATATTATATCATTGCCCATAAATCCTAAGCTACAGTCATCCATTCTAACTCCACCCAGTTAAGTATGTGCAAAGAAATGTTGACTTTTACTCCCTTTACGTGTTCTTTGCCAATTCACTCTCCTACCCATTAGCCTGGATTTCATACTTTCCATTAGGTTGAAACTTATAACCAAAGTAACTCTTACTTTCTCATGCCAAAGACAATGAAGATATTTGATTTTTTTATCTGCATAAGTTGACCAATAGGATCACTTTTTCATTCATAACATACTTTTTCTTAAATACATCTTCTTTAAAACAATAAATATTTTAAAACAAAAAATATAATACATTCTCTCCTCCGCAAGAGATTAGAAGTCAGTGTGCATTTTTGGTGTCTACCCTGAAGTTAGGAACTCACTTTCAAAGACTAACTAATGCTAAGGAAAAAATAGTATGAAGGAAAACGCTATCTGAAAAATGCTATCATAACCAGCTGATCTAAATGCCAACTTTTTCTGTTCAATTTGAATCTAATTGTTCTCTTGGTGTAATTCATGAAATATAACTTTCTTTTTTGGTGTGACTACATAAGCAATGGCTTTTAGGAATAAATAAAATTTAATCTTAGCAACATATTAATCCTCTCCCAGGATTTTTTTTGAAATGACAGTTGTTCTTCTATACCATACAACATTATAATGTCTTATGAAATACATTGTCATAACATTTAAGGTTTTGGTCCTTATAGGTGAATGGTTCCTTGTTAGTGCTTAGCTCAAATAAAAATCTATAACTGAGGTCAGTGGGAATGGACTATACAATCATTCTAAAGAAATTACCTATTTATAACTTAAGGAAGTTGGCCATTTGAGTTTGATCACCTTTTTAGCTCCTAAAATAATAATCAAAATATAAAGATAGAAAAAATATTAACTTATGCGACAGAACTATATTGGGTAATGCAAAGCTGAACAGATGGGAAGATAAATAGAATAAAATGAAAAAAATCAGATATTTTAAAATGTTTTAGTTGGCTAATCTATGTATAATGCTATCAAATAACTTATGTTGCTCTTTCTAAACTTATTCTAGACTTTCATAAGTGACAGAGACTTGCATTGCTGTGTGTGTGTTTGTGTGTGTGTCCTTGTTTGTGTGTGTGTGCTTGTTTGTGTGTGTGTGTGTGTTTGTGTGTGTGTGTGTGTTTGTGTGTGTGTGTGTGTGTGTGTGTGTATCCTGGGGCTTGAACTCAGGGCTTCTACAGAGCTTCTTTGCTCAAGGCTAGCATTCTACCACTTGAGCCCCAACTCCAGCTCTGGACTTTTTTTGGAGGGGCAGGGTTGAGAAGGCTAACAAGAGATAAGAGTATCATGTACTTTCCTGCCCAAGCTGGCTATGAACTGTGATCCTCAGATCTCAACTTCCTGAGTAGCTAGGACTAGAGATGTGAGCCATTGGTATCCAGCTACCTTTTAGATTAATCCTAAATTTTATGGGCAGAATAATAGTAAATGTAAAAATAGTTCTCTGTTAGCATGCTAGCCTCCTTCAGGAGATATATCACTTCATAACTAATGAAAAACACACTCTGGAGGAGAGATTAGTTTTCTTTTTTTCCACTTCAGAAAAGTTCCTGAAAAGACTACAATATCTGCAGATCACTTTTTTAAATACATGCCATATGATGATGCCTAAAATGTATTTCAGTCAAAACCCTCATTCTACCTATTTAATTTATGGAAAGACAAAGGCACTTTTCAAACCAGTTAGCCACATATATATTACTTTAAAAAATACTATTTTCATTTCCCTCAGATAATTTTGTCCTCAAGGAAAGCCTGCCCCCATTCAGCTCAGTTTCTAAGGTGCACAGATGGTGAAAAAAAGAAAGGAGAAAAAAGGTGATTTGTCTCATGATAATATCACCAGCTAGGAGAAAAACTAATGCCAATTTCTGTGTCCCATAATAATAATTTCTTTGCTGTGGTCTTATAGGATTCTACTGTAGAAATAACTATCAATGTTTTTCATAGTTGTTCGAGAGTGGAAATACATGTGTGTGTGTGTGTGTGTGTAAATTTATGAAAATATACACATATGGAAATATCTATATAATGAAAACATGATGCCACTCCAACATCACCCCAGAAGAGCCATAAAGACAAAAATCTAACACCAAATTGTGCCTTCCATGAACTATAAATTGAGAGAAGGAAACAGCAGAATCCTACTGTCTTGAATCTACTGAATCTATTTCAAATGTCTCCTTCATTTGGCATTGCAGAAAGACTTTCATAGAATTATAATTTGATATAGAAAGTGTGGGGGGAGAAATGTAGGGTTTGGGGGATTTGCACATTTACCTGTTAGGTTGCTTTTGTAATTAAGTGGGGGGGGGCGGGGCGGAAAAAGCAGAAGGCTCAGGTCTGCAGGCCCAGTTGGTCCTGGAGTTTCCCCATTCCCACCCTGTCACCCTCCAAGCTCTCCAAATCACTTCCTGACAGTTTGAACTTGTCGCCAATCATCATACAGCGAGCCCAGAGTGACAGAAATGCGAACCAATCACAGAGCTCAATTTCCTTCCCATTTCTCCCCCTACACACACACACCCCCCACGCTCACAATGGCTGCCTCATAGGAGGGGGGCGGGCCGAGTGGCGGAAGGGGTGGGCGGAGCAGCTGAAGGGGCGGGGCAAGCGCACAGGCGTTGGGGAGTCTGCCCGGAATCCTCCTCCTCCTCCTCCTCCCTCCGGAGCAGCCGGAACAGCGCTGCTCCAGCCCCGAGATCCGCCCCAGGCAGGCGGCCCACCCCCCCGCCGGCATGTCTCTCTCCAACAAGCTGACGCTGGACAAGCTGGACGTGAAGGGCAAGCGCGTCCTCATGCGTGTGGACTTCAACGTGCCCATGAAGAATAACCAGATCACCAACACGCAGAGGATCCGGGCCGCCGTGCCCAGCATCCAGCACTGCCTGGACCACGGCGCCAAGGCCGTGGTGCTCATGAGTCACCTGGGCCGGCCCGACGGCATGCCCCGGCCGGACAAGTACTCGCTGGAGCCGGTGGTGCCCGAGCTGAAGACGCTGCTGGGCCGGGATGTGCAGTTCCTGAAGGACTGCGTGGGGCCCGAGGTGGAGAAGGCCTGCGCCAGCCCCGCGCCCGGCGCCGTCATCCTGCTGGAGAACCTGCGCTTCCACCTGGAGGAGGAGGGCAAGGGCCTGGACGCGGGCGGCAGCAAGGTCAAGGCCGACCCGGACAAGGTGCAGGCCTTCCGGGCCTCGCTCTCCCGGCTGGGCGACGTGTATGTCAACGACGCCTTCGGCACGGCGCACCGCGCCCACAGCTCCATGGTGGGCGTGGAGCTGCCCCAGCGGGCCGCGGGCTTCCTCATGAAGAAGGAGCTGGAGTACTTCGCCCGCGCCCTGGAGAAGCCCGAGCGGCCCTTCCTGGCCATCCTGGGCGGCGCCAAGGTGGCGGACAAGATCCAGCTCATCAGGAACATGCTGGACAAGGTGAACCACATGATCATCGGCGGCGGCATGGCCTACACCTTCCTGAAGGTGCAGAGCAACATGGAGATCGGGGCCTCCCTGTTCGACGAGGAGGGCGCCAAGATCGTGAAGGACATCATGGACAAGGCCGAGAAGAACGGGGTGAAGATGACCCTCCCCGTGGACTTCGTCACGGGGGACAAGTTCGAGGAGGGGGCCAAGGTGGGACAGGCCACGGTGGAGTCCGGCATCCCCGCGGGCTGGATGGGGCTGGACTGCGGTCCCGAGAGCATGAAAAAGAACGCGGAAGTCGTGGCCCAAGCCAAGATGATCCTCTGGAACGGCCCCCTGGGGGTCTTTGAGTGGGACGCCTTTGCCAAGGGGACCAAGGCCCTCATGGATGAGATCGTCAAAGCCACGGCCAAGGGCTGTGTCACCATTATAGGCGGCGGGGACACCGCCACCTGCTGTGCCAAGTGGAACACGGAAGACAAGGTCAGCCACGTGAGCACCGGCGGGGGGGCCAGCCTAGAGCTTCTGGAAGGGAAAGTTCTTCCCGGGGTCGAGGCCCTGAACAACTTATAGTCGTCTGCATGTGTGTCTCCTCATCAAGCGCAAAGCCCTTAGACTCAAATGGCTTTCTTCTCAATCCTCTGTGCGTCTCAGCCCCGGGCAGTGCGGAGATCTTAACGCCCTTCCAGCAATCCAAGTAGTGCCACCCTCACACCTAGCATCCTGGAGATCTCATTCCAACTTCACCATCGGGCTTCCCAGGGAGGAGTCATTCCTAACGCCTATTAAAGTAGTCGTTTGAATAAGTGGAATTGGCGGTTGTGCTTTTGTCTGTATGTGTTGGTTCCCTGTCTGAAAACAGGGAGGGAAATGCATAAGTCATTGGTGAAGAATAGGCCAAGTTCTACCAACTGTCCCAGAGAAAGCCTCCTGTTATTTCAGCAAGATTCACAGTAAGGTCCTTCACAATGGAATGTTTTGTTTTGTTTTTTTAATCAAGACTAATAGCCAAGACCAATAGCTTAGAAAAAATACCATCTCTCGTTTACAAGTCCTCAGATAACAAGTCTAATGTATCCTTGTTATATAAATGACACAGTATAAAAAAGAATGTCTTCCCTGGCAAAAAACTACCTTTGTGTGTGGTTGCCACCGAATGTCTCCCTGGTCTCTTTGGCTTAGCTGGAGGAGCCGGTGGGGTCCTGTTCCTATGCGTGTGTATGTTCCTGTCACTCAGCAATGAGACTGTGCGCTCCAGTGCCTTCCACACAACTGTGCAAGGACACGTCCTTGTGAAAAGCAGCAAATGCCCGTCCCAAGGAATTGTCAGGTACCCACAGGACAAATAAAGCTAGACTGAACGATGATGCTGTAGATTAGCAAGAACTTAATCATGCTCACAGTGCCTTGCGCTGACACTTAACAGAATGCAAAATGACAGTTGTATGATGAGCCTCAATATGTGGATATTTTTCACACATACATACTAATACCGTATAAAATAACATAATCCTTGTTGGTCTGGAAGAACGAAGATGTGAATTGATCCTGTGTCTGCTTAGATTTTATGTTACAACCAATACAATTGGAAAGTTAGAAACAATAATTAAAAAGATAGGATCTGAGTTTATACGTTAAAATGAGCTTTCTTATTTTTTTACAGAAAATTAAAAATAAACACCCTGTCAAATAAATGTAGCAAGGTCCCATTATTAGGAAGAGATTGTTAATCACCATGAGAAATGACAGTGAGCTGCTCCTTAGAAATGAGAACCAAGAAAGCAAAAAGTGACAGGAAATACTCTCTTAAGTGTTGAGAAAAAATATATAATCATCACAATGGGCCAGGGCAGGGAGTGAGGAAAATAAATGGAAACTGATTTTTTGAGACTTGTAACTCAGGACTCCACTCTTTAACCCTTTTAAGAACCAAATTTCCCTTGTGCTTTTTATTGGCATCTGTCAGTTGTACAAAGGGGATTTATGCATGATACCTCCATTTCCACTCAGATCCCTAACCCTCCCCTCTCAACGCCAGCCTGGACCAGCTCCATCGGCCCACGTCCACGTGTGGTCTCATGAGGAATTGTGAACATTATCACCGTCCACCCCCTCTCTGCTCACTGCCCTCCGCCCGCCGGACCTGCCCTCCAGCCAGGTCAGCCCAGCTGTCCACCCTTCCCTTTTCTTGCAGCAGGCGCCCATTATCCGGAGTGACCCCTCCACCACCTCTCAGGAGCAGCCTCCTGTTGTCAGAGCTCAGTCATCGTTTCATTGTCTTCCTAAGTAGACAGAATAGGGGAAGGCATCATTGCATTTCCTGTCTTCCTAAGTAGCTGGAATAGGGGAAGTCATCCATCCCCTGGTGCAAATACACTGAGTGTGCAGGAGCCGAGCAGGCGTGCACAGCCTTGCGCACGCCCCCGAGAATGTGTGGGAACGCCACGCGTCTGCACGTGGCTCTGGGGCGGCTGGAAGGCTGGGTGGGCTTGTGGCCTTGGGGGCCATCCAGCCGCGCATGTCTCCCTCCTCCTGGGCTCCCCGCGGGTCACGGTGTCCACGGGCCTCGCGCGGGGCCGCGGCCTCCTGAGCGGCTGTCACGCCCAGGAGAGCTGAGCCTGGAGCAACAGCCAACGGTAACGGCGAAGGCCTGAGCGCGCGCCCGACGGCCGCGGGAGTTACAGTCGCCGCCGACCCGACCTGGCCCGGCCCTCCCTGCCCGGCCCGCCGCCTCCGCGCTCTGCAGTGGGGGTAGGTGTAGAGCGGGCTGGGGGACGGAGGCCCCGGGAGGCCCGGCCTGCTTCACCGGGCCTGCAGTGCGTGTGAAGAGGGCCGGCCAGGCGCCTCTCCCGCTCCGATCCGAGGCTCGGGTATCCCTCGGCCTCCGGGGGACACTGGGCAGCCAGGACGCCCGCCCCGTCCCGGGAGAGCCCAGATGCTGCCGCCAGCCAGCGGGGCCGCTTTCAGGCCCCTCACCGCCCAGCACTTAGCGTGGGAAGGCAGCGCGTCCTCATGGCGGCCCCAAGAGACACCCAGGACGTCTCCGGGGGAGCAGGCTAGTCCCGGGCTCTGATCGGGACAGAATGATGAGGACGGCCTTCTTCAAGTCACTCTGCGCTCCCTTTTTCCTTAGGATTATGGAAGAGTCCACCATGCTGCCCCTCCAGCCCCCTAAGAGAGCCGCGTCATCTTAAAACACCTGCGGGAGCGCAGCACTTCCCACTGGTGAGTACCCAGGAAGGGCTCAGCGCCCAAGGACTAAGACAGGAATGCAGGGGATGGTGAAACACTGCTCCATTCATTCACGCAGCCACGACATCATGGGTTAGTAACAAAGGTGCCCGAGAGGAAAGCCGCACCAAGGGCCGGTGGTCCCTATGACCACTATGGAATGGTGGGTAACTCAACTGCAGAATCTTCCGGTTTGTGTAGGTGCTTTTGGATGAGCTAGGGAGGACCAAGAAACCCCCCATGACAGATAGATCACTTCCTCTAAAGTTCATGGGGAAAAAGGCCTTGAACATTTGATCACTGATTAAACTATGCTGCTTTTTCTTTAAAGACATCAGAAGGAGACACTGGTTTCATAGTCATAGACACTTCTGAAATTAGCAGTTCAGTCAAGCCACATGATTTCATTCATAGATAGATAGATAGATAGATAGATAGATAGATAGATAGATAGATAGATAGATAGATAGATGATAGATAGATAGATTTTACAAGGTCCCAAAACCTTATAGACATATCAGTGGACTCCAGGACCTGCGGAGTATATACACTTTAACCAACATTAGCTATGAGCAACATCAAGTCAGATATGGACTCCATAGAAGCCTGACTTAGGAGCAACCCAGCTATATTTAGTCCTGGTTATCTGAGTGATTAACCAGTCTTGGGGAGGTCAGCATGGAAATATGAAGCCAAAAAACATGTCTAGATAGTAATATGCCTATGAACCAGCTTGGCTATCAGACTTACTGACTCAAAGTAGAAGTTGATGGTGGGAAATAAGCAAAAAGAAAAGTTTATGATAGTAGAACTAGAATAAAGTTCACTAGTAGAATACTGATGCACATCCTGAGTTCAAACCCCCCCCAAAGAAAAAAGGAAAAAAAGCAATATGGGAACCAAATAATTTAAAAAATACGCCCGATGAAAGACAATGAAACTAGAGACTGGATATGAAAGTCCTATTTCAGAAGAGTAGTGACTGTACAGCTTAAAATACACGCAGTTCTAACCCTCTGTCTCCACACCTTACTCCTTCCTACAGAAACAGCAGATATTTCATCCTGCTCTCAGAACTAACAGTAAGTGGTTATACAATCTAGAGTGAATAGTTTATCATGACAACCACTATAATGTTGCCAAGAGTAAAATGAGATATTCAATGAGCTTATTATCTGTGGTTTAAAGGTGATCCATTTTGTTTTTACTGAGAATAATAGCAATAGTTTTTTTAAAGCTAAAGTAAATTATAGTTCTGTTGTGCAAAGAATCACTTTATACTTAATGATTTTTTATATTCATCCTGTAAGTAAATAATATTCTCATTCACCTGACTTTAGAAATGGAAATAACTACCTTTAGAGAAACTGAAAAAGTATGGCTATCTCTATACACTTTATTTTCCTACATCTTTGATTTTTTTTCCCTGCTGTTAACATATAAAGTTATGTCCTAATATAAACCCGGTCTTTCCTGAGGTCAGAGTAAAAAATAAAGTGAGGCCGGGACCTCTACCAGGCTGTGACCAGACCTTTTCTCCCAATTGAGTCTATGTCAATGCACTTTCAAAGTTCATCGACTCTGAAGTCATGACTCGGAAAAACCTTACTTCTGACACCACTCCAAAATTTACCAGTAGCACAGGCAAACAAGTCCAAGCCATAAAATTCTTACCTGCCAAATACAACCAAACTTGCTGAGGTATGAGAGCAAAGTAACAGGGCAATTTCTTTTTTTTTTTAACCAAAATCATCAACAAATGTTCATTCCTTTCCCACATCATTGAGAATCAGGAGAATATAAGGAATAAGGATTCATTTAATCTACTTGAAAATCAGTGGAGCCTGAGAAGCACATACACAAGTTGTTTGTTGTGTTGTCCCTCCAAAAATTAGAAGGTACCAAACATGCTCCATCTGGAAAATCTTTTCTGAGCTGTCTGACAATTTCATAGGACAGCAGGCTACCTGGCGAGCAGAAGAGACAAATGTCTGGAAACCAAGGCACTCACCATCACTTTAATTTACAGAGGAAAGTTTCTAAGACAGAGGATAGGAAGATGAGCTTCCTAAACGGAATGTTCTGGTGAATTCAGCTAAAGGTCCCATGGCTTTTTGATAGCCAGTATGGACAGCACGATGCTGAATGTCTTTTGAAAATGCCAGAAAGAAATAAATAACAACAACCTTGATACTATGGGCCATCAAGACTGAACAAACTGGAATAGGTCAGGATTTCAGTTTGTCCATCGTAGTTGTTGACACACACAAGTACAAGAAAAATATATTCCTTCAAATCACTAAAGTGGTTGTACATATCTTCCTGTGTATTTTACAATCTTGATTCCAGTAGGGTGTAAATGATAAGGAGTCATGGTTCTACTTTTGCTAGAAGACAGCAAACCAAGTGAGGCTACCCACGGAAAGAAGTTCCCCCCCTCCTACCCCCTCCACCCCCCCACCCCCCACCCCCGCACAACTGAGGCGCAGGACAAATGTCAGCACCACGCTGATGGAATCTTGTTTCTACCACATTTCACTTCTGCTGCAGAAATGGTAGCAGAGCAAGTGCAGAAAACAGAAGGTGTCATTTCCCTACCTCCTACAGCTCTACCCCAACCATCACGTTTACCTCTTCTTGCTTGTATTAAAGGCAAGCTTGGCTCTTCACAACCCAACTGCCACGTGCCCCGTGCCCCGTGTGGGACCCCGGCATCCACATGTCCCTTGGGGATAACTTAAACCATGACACTGTCTTCCTACCTCAAACCATGACATTGTCTTCCTACCTCTTGGTGGTACGCTGTGCTCACGTCAGCCCTTTGTCTGCTTTGACTCAGTTTCCAGCCATGGCTTCTCTCCCAGTGGTGCTGTTTCTCATCACCATGCTGCTCCCGTCTTTACCCGCGGAGGCCAAGGTAAGGTTAAACTGGAAGATCCTTCCACAGCTGCCGGGCAGCTCTGTGGGCTGTCCTCCTACTTTGAGAGTAGAAGAGGAGAGAGCACCGGGCAGGTGGCAGGGCTCTGATTCAAGCGAGTCAGAGAGGAAGGTAAGCGCTGTCCAGCACAGAGGCCAGCCATCCCACGTGGCTATGGACCGTCAAAAGACAAGACACATCACAAGTACTCACCAGACGCCAGAGCCTGGGGATGGAAGCCCTCTTTGCCATGATGTAAAAATAAGACTCATTATGATCTTCAAGTAGTGGTACAAGGGTGTTTCAATATCAGTATATGAGTCCAGTGCCCCTTGATCAGTGTCACATCTTTATTTTCCTCCCCCATCTGTTCTAACTCCACCGACACCATATTAAGCTCCATGGTTCTATGCTCACACAGATACGTAGACTATGACTGTATTCACCTATCCTTCACCTCATCATTCATCTGGATTTCTCTCTGGAACACCTTCCTCACCCAGACAAACTGTGTTTGGGCTTCTTGGTATTAATTTTGTTAAAGTGTTGTTTAGGCCTTCTGAGGACTCACACCATGGTCTGCCTGATAACAGTTTCTTTTGATAATGTAATGATTGAGGGATTGATCCTGGTAGCTATTACAAACTTTTAAGGTGATTTTTTTCCCCTCTTGAATTTGCTTATTGATCATTGTTTGCCATTTCTACCAAGATATTTTTTTCCAACAAATAATACCTTCGTTTCCTTTAGGACCCAGCTTTTACTTCTTTGTTAACCACTCAGCCACAAATACAAAGGGAGATTGTAAACAAGCACAATGAATTACGAAGATCTGTCTCCCCCACTGCCAGCAATATGCTGAAAATGGTAAGAGGCAGGGGTGTGGCGGGCGAGCAGATGGCAGCTCCACAAAACGTCGTGGTTTATAGTGGTCCTGTCTGTGACATGCTATTTTATTTGAACTCTTCTATGGAGAGAACTCTTTCCTTTAAAAGAAATGGCTAAGTACCATAGTAGAGTTACAGTATATGTTTCATATCTATATTTATACATATGTATTATTATTTACATTATATATTCTAAATAATATGTAATTATATATTATTAAGCTGGAAAGGCTGAATTAGGAGTCAATCTTTGAACCTCCAGCATGAAGCCATTACACTTTTTCATTCTTAGTCTTAAATCTAGATACTATACCCTTTTCTTTAGTGTCTTTATTAGTGGGGAAAGAATAAACTCTGTTTCCAGGGCCTACCCCTAAAATCTTCCTAGCCTATTCAGATCTATACTCCCACATGAAAGAAATTGGCTTTAGATGAAGTTGGGATAATCCAGATCCGTTTACCATTAAAAATTTGAATAGTTCACATGCTCATCAATATTTAGAGTAGCACCACTGCTTAAAAGGTAGGTGTGGCTTCATAGTGAGACTGTCGAGTCCCATGCGTGATTGCTTAGACACATGCACACATGTGCTCTGACCACATGCACCCCTCTACTTATCCCTGTACCCCCTTCTGTTTGTCCCTGTACCCCCCTTCTGCCTTTCTTTCCCTACCCATCTTTCTAGCAATCACCCCTTTGCAAAAATACATTTTAATAGCAAAGAAAATTCGAAAATAGTTCCAAAGAAGTTTTAAAATACTACTAAGGAGCCTACCAATAAGAGTACATGTTTCATTGTGGTTGAATCATTAAGTGTCATACTTGTTCTTTCATATCTAGGAATGGAACCTGGATGCAACTGCAAATGCACAAAAGTGGGCAAATAAGTGTACTTTACAGCACAGCCTTGCAGAAGAACGGAAGACCAGTATGTAAACGGGCAAATATTGGATGAATAAATGCAATACCAGAGCTTTGTGTAAAGTATTAGGTTAAGAAAACTTCATGCATCAAGGCTTGATTATGCTTCTGTCTCTTTAAAATCATTTGACCATTTGGTCTCTATGTACATAGAGAGATAATCATGCTCAGAACAATTTTGTGTTTGTCATTTCCATTATGCAGATGACTGAGATGCAATGAGTCATTTGTTCCCTCTGCCAGCTCATGAGCCAAGCCAGTCACACATGATGTTTCAACATCAGTTTTTATATTCATAAAACATACTGAGTTACCTCTGGTCATACAGATAGTAATTTATCAAAATGAACTACAAACACTGAATTATGCTTCATATCTTGAGCTTTGCTCAAAAAAGTAACATTCTAAAATATAAAACATTACCATGACAAAAGTTCCTATATATATATATACTCAAAATTCATTTGTACAATACATTAAGACTCCATGCAATGTAGACGAATTATCTAAAAAGAGGAATTATCTAAAAAAATGTATGGGATCAAAAACTTTGATGCATGAACTTTACAACAAAATCCATCATCAAAAATTGTATGAATCTATATGGGCAAGTTCACCTGGAAAGCAGATAATGATTGATGGGTGCTTCAGCCAATGATGACAGGATAATGACAACAAAATTATGGAAGGAGGTGGGTCCATTCACAGGAGACTGAAGGTTTTAACGAGCCAAGTGTAGTCAGCGCTCCATTCCTACGGGAGATCACAGCAGTTAGGTGGCACAGCAGAACCAACATTTCCATCTACTTCAAGGGACACGTTAGGTGCGAGGCTACGAACATCCAGGGAAAACTGAGGAAAAAGCAGACTGGTGGCTTTTCCCCATTTCCTGGTGAGGGAAGATGTGTAAATTCTGAAAAAAAATGTTTTCCCTCCTGGTGTCACGTATCTGCGATGAGATTCTTAAAAACAGCCTGAAATAAACACCTGTGCTCCCCTAACTGAACCTTGTTTTTCAAGGTCTTATTTGTGAAAGATGTCTGGAAAGGGTTTTGAAGGCAGGAGAAAAAGAGGACAAGTCACTCCTTCTTTTAGGAAGCCTACAACACCAAGACAAAAAAAAGGCACACCACATAAACACATGAAGAATGGTGCAGAAATGACCAGAACATTTGAGCTCCTGGAAGGACGAGGATTTGGAGGAATGGAGACTCCCCGCCCTCCGTGTAAAGCAGCCCGTCTTGTCAGCTGTTTGAGACCTGAGCGAGCAGTAGGCAGTCTTACTCAGTAGTGGACGCCTAGCAGTTACGGCCTCTCTCCCAAAGACAGCACCTCCACACGGGGGCTGCCACTGCGTTTCCCTCACAAAAGACCCCTTCCTTCCCTCCTAGCTGTAAAATGTGGTGAGAATCTCTACATGTCGAGTGATCCAACTTCCTGGTCAGATGTGATCCAAAACTGGTTCAATGAGAGAGAAGGCTTTAACTATGGCGTAGGACCCAAGACTCCTACCACACCCGTTGGGCATTATACTCAGGTAAGGGGAGGGTCCAAAATACCTTGGCCTAAATCATGCTACTATAGAAGACTAAACTTGAGCCTGTAGGACTGAAGTAAGCACACTGCCTTGTCATTTGGCCGATCTCTATCTAGATCTACCACTTATGCCTGTCTTCTTGACAGAGATGCAGACATACACACACCACGTTTTACCCGACACTACCAATGAGGAAAATGGCAAATGGATCTTCCTTCTCATTTCCCTTCTGTTATGTTTATATTTTTACCCTCACTAAGGAGTTGTACAAAAGGGTTCAGCCCGCCATGTCAGTTTATGGGTACAATGCATCTGAATCAAAGTTTAGTGTTTGAGAAGCACATGCCTCATTGAATAACGTCAGTGCTCTGCAGGACACATGGCTGCAACTGTGACAGGAATTGCTGCTATTTGCATTTTAATGTCCCCCCCCCCCATTTTCTGCCTATTCATCCTCTTTTTCAGCTTGCCTGGTACTCCTCTTACCAAGTTGGGTGTGGAATAGCATACTGTCCCAATCAAGAAAATTTCAAGTACTACTATGTCTGTCAGTACTGCCCTGCGTAAGTGCCCACCAGATGCGAAAATGTTCCCCTGCGCGGAAAACAGAAAGGGGACAAGAGGGACAGTTCTTCCTTTAACTTCTCAGGAGCTCCCGTTCCTCATTGATATAATGGTTTCTTTCCTCTTTCCCATGGGCCCATGGTGTGTGCATTGCTCTAGACCTCGTGCCATCCGATTTTGCTCATTTCACACTGCAGTCTAAGCAAAGAGTCAGTCTGAAAAGGGAGAGGTGACATACAGTGGCTTCAGCCACGTCTTCTCAACTGTGTGTGTACACATATGTATGCATGCATGCATGTATGTATGTAAATACTTACATGGCCACCATTAGAAAAGACCCATCCTCTGGTGTCTCAAAGGTATTTCAGGATGCACTAAATGTGTTTCCAAACCCCCAAATCGTGTCACCTGAAGTCTTCTTTGGTGAGCATGCTCAAAGGAAACCCCAACCTTCTCCTGAGGTTTTGATGTCTATCCACAAGCACGCACTTATATCAAGCAGCATGTTTAAAGTTTCTTAGGAAAATCCCCTATCAATATATAGTCACACTATGCCTAATGTGTGAACTTCCTTACTACAGGAGAGAGGGGCTTCTCGGAGATGGTAGCTGATCCAGACGGTGGAGGGCCCCAGCTGGGGTATGACCTGCAAGCACCTTTTAGATTGAAGCAGAGAAAACAGAAAGGCTCTGTGATTACACATCTCTGCTTAAGAGCTGAGCTCTCAGAACATGGCGCTATATAATCCCAGAGTCCTCTCTGTTCTAAGGAGAGTGGGCAGTGTCCCTAGAAAGAGCTCTGGGCACTCTGGATAAGCAATTTGAGGGAGACCATCGGGGGACGAGGAGGGTGTCGCAATATCAACCCACACACGCCAGTGACCTCTGTCTGTTCAGCCTGTGAAGTTGTAGCCAGAGATGGGGCCATGTGTGAAGTTCTTTCTTAATTTGGATTGTTGCCTGATGTACACACTGGGAAACCACTACTAAAAGCAAAAAGACTCTATTTAGTGACTAGCATGTAAACCAAACAGAGAGGTAACAAGACATCTGTGTTTTGTATTTCAGTGGTAATAACTTGAGTAAAAAGAACACCCCTTACTTACAAGGAGTGCCCTGTGCCAGCTGCCGTAATAACTGTGAAAACAAGCTATGCAGTAAGTCAACCAAAGACCTTATCCTTGCAACACATTTAACTAAACACATCATTGACAAGTACTCCAGGTTATCAATTTGATAGGACAAAGATAGCATCTGAACAATTAAAACATAATATCCTAAGGAGGATGATACACGTCAGCAAATGCTACTTTCTTTTGTACCAATGAGTTCATTATACTGGTCTACTAAAGTGTAATTAGACCAGCAGTGTTTGCCTTAACAACTGACATTTGCTCTGGAATTTGGTGGTAGTTTGTGTACATTTTAATGACAAGAGCCATTATGTACCTAGCTTTGGCTCAAAGAACACACTCCTTTCAAAGAAGGAGACAAAATGTCATCTAGTATGTAGCTCATATCTAGTAACTCTCAGGAACAAAAGAAGAAAGTTAACTATTGGAACTGGATGCCAGTGACTTATGCCCACAGTCCAGCTACTTAGGAAACAGAGACCTAGAGAATTGTGATTTGAAGCCAGCTTGCATAGAAAAAGTCCATGACATCCCACCTGAGTTAATCAGCAAAATGCTTGGCTGGACCAGCCAAGAGCAAGCAAGCTGACCAAGTGTGTGAAGTCCTGAGCTTTCCCTAGTGGTGATAGTTCATTCAAATTACTCTGCATGAGCTGGCCTGCGCCCTGAGGTTTTCTTCCAGACTCACCTGCACAGCTGTAATTCAGAATACTGACACCAAAGCAGTATAGAAACCCAGAAGGGTAAAAGTCGAATGTTTAATCCTCCACCAGGAGCTGTTTGCTCTGGAGCTTGGAATTCAGCTTATTAGTGATGAGTACCCAATGGGAAAATCTTAAAACGATGGCAGGGTCACCATGGTGATTCATAGAGGTTTTCTGGCAGGAGAATGCAAACATCACCAAATAAAAGCCAGCAAGTAGGAAATCCAGGTTTCAAATACAGTGACTGGCAGGTAAAGGAAGTAGCAGCACAATGTGTGAGTCTGGCTGGTTGAGGCTCCTGAAAGGGTGCTCCGGGGTCCAGCACTGAGCTGCTGGGTCACGTCCCTTAGACTGCGCATGTGTTGGCACGGGGGGTATAAGAAGTCCATCCCCAAGGCTAGCCGACCTTGTGGATGGTAGTGTGATGAGATGAGGTCTACCCAGGCAGCATCAGGAGGAAAGCGGTTTGCCACTGCATCTGCCCCATGCATCCACCCATGAAGACAACTTTCTCCAGAAAGAAAGCATTGAAACATGAAGTTATCCTGTGCTGCCATGTGGGATGATAGAAATAATTGACTTCCACATACTCCAGCGGGGGGCTAGTAAGATGAAAACATTTAATACAAGGCTTGAACTCAGGGCCTCGACCCTGTCCCACAGCAGCAGCTAAGGAGCACTTGAGCCACGGCTCCCCTTCTGCCTTTCTGCTGGTTAATGGATGCTAAGGGTGTCACAGAGGTTCGGGCCTGAGCAGGCTTTTCATTGTCATCCCCAGATGTCAGCCAGGATGACAGGCGGGAGCCTCAGGCACACAGCCAATTTAACATACATTTACCCTCCATGCCTGTGACTAGTCTGTGGATGTAGAGGTGTGCTTGCGTTCGCGTCACTGCTTGCTGAGGGGTCAAAGTTGGTGGATCCATCTCAGAACTCCATCACGGAACTTATATGTATTTTTTAAGTATTGGTTTAGTCAATGAGATGAACCAGGACCCTCCCGTGGCCCCTTCAGAGCGGAGGGGGAATGGTCTGCCCACTTCTCCCACGCACTTCACATACATAGACGGCTTTCCTCCCACAATGGCAAGATGGTAACCAAGCCTGTTTTCATTGCAGCCAATAGTTGCGAGCACGAAGATCTCCTGAGCAACTGCGATTCCCTGAAGACCTCAGCTGGCTGTGACCATGAACTGCTCATAGAGAAGTGCAAGGCCACCTGCCTGTGCGAAGACAAAATCTACTAAACTACCAGGGTGCCCTGTTCAGGTCTCCATGGAAACCAGGAGAAAGTGTAGGGATACGAGGTACAAAATCAACAGAAACGTCTTAACTGGGAGTTTTAGCTAAAGTGGCGCCGCCAACAGTGACAATTTGGACTCTGATATAAACACGTTGCCCTCATGAGTTAAATCAAGTTGAGGATTTTGGAAGCTGACTAACTGCAGGCTAGAAATTCTAATCTGAAAGCAGAACTCTGTGTCTCCCAAAACAGCATGCTAGAGGAAGAAACAACTAGAATGTCCTTGTTGCCCCAATACTTGTGCTTTGCCTGCATAAAAAGGAATGAAAGGAAAAGTAGTCCGACTGTCAAATAAAGCACTAATATAACCAACTCTGCTTCTCATGTAGTATTTTATTATGTTCATAAGAATGCCAACTTAACAATTACCACAGAGCAAAATTTCTATAATGGGCATCTTTAAAAATAGGTTTTCATGGAAAAGAAATCACTCACCCTCTCTGTCTTTCCTGTTTGATATGTAAGTATCTGCTGACACAGAACATAACCCAACACAACATGCAAGTATAGATGTCTGATTTTTTTTAAAAAAATGTAACAAATATTTTAGAGACATTAATTACTGTAACTCCATATTTGGAAGTATTGGGATTCGAACTCAGGGCACACTACTGCCTGGCCCATTCAGTTAAATAGCCAATTTTTATATGAGAATGCATACACTAAACATCTATAAATACTGAACTGCTTATTGAAAGTAGAAAGCGATGGCCAAGAAGATGGCTGGGCTACTGATAGTATTGGCTCCTGATGCCTTAGATAATACAGATCTTCTGAATTACTTGGTCCCATTAATGATACTGAGCTCATGATTCCATGGCCTCCAAAAATGGGAACTGTCATCAGAATAGTGATGTCAATGTTCAAATAATGGAACTCAATATATTGTGGAAAACCTAGAGACTTCCTCATAAGAGTTCTCACTACAGAGAAATACGTCTTTTCAGAACACACGCTCACCGGAATACAATGATTTTACACCAAATAACTATCAGCTAGTTAAAAAATTGCCAGTAGGTCCCGAGGACAAATACCAGCTTGTGCATTTTCCTAACAAAAAAAAGGTATTTTAACAAGAAATCCCTGTGGATTTTGTTTTCTAGTCCAGTGATCTATAGTAGAATTTCAAACAGAACATTGAACTAGTATTAGCAATAACCTTTGACATTTGAAGACTTCTAGAATTAACAGGAATGCTGTACATTACCAAAAAAAATCTTATTTTTCTAATTCTCAGTTGCATCTTGTTCAAGTTTTTCCTTGATAACTATACACAAGTCACTTTTTTTCAAGTCTATGGTCATGTTTGATTTAAATAAATGAAGTTAAGAGAATTGTAAGGGTTCCATCCCTACTAATCACATTTCAAAAAAAAGTGATGAGTTTTTCAGGACTGGCCCCTTAGAGTTTGTCATTCTCAAGACAGAACTGGCCTCTCACAAAATAACAGGTGAGTGAAAGAAACAGTTAAGTCAATCATTGCTTTCTTTTTTTGGGGGGGTCCAGTTGTGGGGCTTGAACTCTGGGCCTGGGCGCTGTCCCTCAGCTCTTCAGCTCAAGGCTAGCGCTCTACCACTTGAGCCGCAGCGCCACTTCTGGTTTTTTTCTTTTTGCTTGGTGCTGAGGAATCGAACCCAGGGCCTCATGCATGCAAGGCAAGCGCTCTACCACTGAGCCACCTTCCCAGCCCATTGCTTTCTTTAGCAGATTCTTTTAAATTAACTGAACATTGAATTTGAAAGAACTATTTCTTCTTCCCAAAGCTCTTAGGAGGGTTCCTTGCTCCATTTCCATAGCAGTAAACCAAGGTCTTTGGTCAAGGATATTGAGTCTCCCATCTCCCATCCCATCTCTAGATTAATTCTGTCAACATAGGCTTAAATCATCTCAGCCTTTCTTGTCTGGATTTGTTCTGGAATAGGGAAGACTTGGAAACTGTGTTTATGTCTCTGAATCTGATTAAACAGTTTCCCCTTTGGTGAGTACAGAGAAGCAAGCCACATTTAAGCAAACAGTGTCTGAAAAGGAAGTTATCTGCCCAAGCCATCAGTTCATTGTTCAGATAAGATTAGCTATTTGCCCAGATGTAACCCCGAGGGTTTTTCTCTCTCTCCGTGTTTATTTCCCAGACAAGAATTTTTGAGAACAAAAAATGAAATGGCCTTGACTCCTGTGTGGTTCTATCTGAGTCCCAACAGGCAGGCAGACGCACCGACTCTGCCTCCAGCCCTCCTCCCCTCCCACTCCCTCACCCCTTCCCCCACCCCCAAAGCCAAGGCAACTGATTTTCTATAACACTGCCAACCACTCAATGGAGTGAGGAGAGTCTCTGCCACAAAGCATGCTGGGAAAAGGGCCACCATACGCTAGAGAATACAATTTTACCCTCATCTCACAAAAGATACAAAAATCAACACAAAATGGATTAAGACCCAAAAGTCAGACCTAAAACTATGAACCTACTACAAAAAAAAAAAAAGACTAAAAGCCACAATACAGCTGTTAGGAACAATATTTTTGGATAAGAACCACGAAGAAGAGACAAAAAAAAAACACCCACAGAAATAAACCAATGAAATTACATCAAGCTTTGCATAGAGGCAAATATCAGAATGCTGGTCAGGGAGGTTATAAAGATGTTGGTCAATGATGTGCACATTTCATTCAGACAGGAGAAAGAAGCCGAGGGCCCACTGCGTAGCACAGTGAACACAATTTGTTGTAATATTTTATATTCTTAATAACTTGCAGAGGGCTGGGAAGGTGGCTCAGTGGTAGAGCGCTTGCCTTGCATGCCTGAGGCCTTGGGTTCGATTCCTCAGGACCACATAAGCAAAAAGAAAAAAGCCAGAAGTGGCGCTGTGGCTCAAGTGGTAGAGTGCTAGCCTTGAGATGAAGAGCTGAGGGACAGAGCCCAGGCCCAGAGTTCAGGCCCCACGACCGAACCCAAAAAAATAATAATAATAACTTGCAGAAGCCAGCATTGGTAGCTCATGCCTGCAATTCAAACTACTTGGGAGTCTGAGGGGCCGAGGCATGTGGTTGGAGGCCAGCCCAGGCATAATTGCCAGACTGCACCCCAACCAACAGCTGCACACAGTGGCATCCACCTCTCATCTCAATTAGGTGAGACGTATAAATAGACTGACTGTAGTCCACGCTGGCTTGGGAATACAGATAAGACCTAATTTGAAAGGGCCGGGGGCCTGGCTCAAGAAGTACAGCACCTGCCTAGCAATTGTAAAGCCCTGATTTTGACCACAGTACCACAAAATAGTAATAAAAATAACAATAAAAATAATTTAGAGAGTAGATCTTAAGTGATTTCCACAAAAAAAGATGTGAAGTAATTTATAATTATAATTATAAATTATAATTTATAATGAGCTTATCCTTTCCATGATGGATGGCTATTTCAAATGACCACAGAATTCAACATGATTTATCACTAACTATAACCCATTAATTTAAAATTTAAGTTTAATTTAGCAGAAAATAACAATTTCCAGTATATAAAAAACAACAACAACAACATTGAACCCACTACCCTTCAAGCTTTAAGTCAATTGTTCCTCATCCTTCTTTTCACATTTATTTTTGTTCTTTGGATGTGCCAATACCAGCGTTTGAACACAGGGCAGGGTTTCTCTTAACTCTTACTCAGTTTTTGACCAGTGGGCCACACTTTCCGTTCTAGCATGGTTGGGGGTTCTGCACTTTTCTGCCCCTTCTGGCTTGGCATTGAGACCTTCCAGTCTCAGCCTTCTGGGCAGCTACAACCACAGGTGTGCGTCACCAGCTCCTGGGCACCTATCACTCTTACTTAGACAGATTCTTGTGTCTGAGTAACTTCTGGGTTCGTGTAGCTCCACTGTTAGAAATGCCACTTTTCTACTTGGTTTTAAAGGAGTCGGCCAGTTATAAGCATGTGGGACATGGATATGCCTCCGGACACGTCTAACATTGAGAATTTCAAGGCATTCTCCCAAGGCGAGCCCTCTGCCTCCCCCCCACCCAACACCAACAGAACTGGCCTAGCTCGGGGATGCCACCCTTTAGTTGAGTTCATCCATTTCCACCATCTGCAAAATAGTCATCTCAAAGTTTTACCTTGTGAGACTGATCAGAGTTAGCGAACGTCAAGAAACTGGCCACCACTCTGCACCAGTGGATGTGGAAAAGACCCGGAATGCTTTCTCTGAAGCCACATCCACATCCAGGGCCCAGCCAGCTGATGTAGACTGATAAGGCGTGGCAGCGAGTGAGAGCGAGCTCTAGAGGGAGACAAAGTAAAGGCTTGCCCTGTTTTCCTGGAAGCCCTCAGCTGCAGCCTTATCTTTGGAAGGCAGCTTGCCCGCCGGGGTGGCTTCCCTGCCACCAAAGCTGAATGCTCCCACTGCCAAGGCAGACCACTAGCCACCTGCCCCTCCCCACACCTCCGCTTCTTCTCTACACCGCCTCCTCCTCTGGCCTTCGGTTTAATTTTGTACAGTGATTACCATGCCTGTTTTTATTAGAGAATCGTTGTTATAAAATTTTGCTCTATATGTTATGTTGAAAAATGAACTTTACAGCTTTGGGGGTTAGAGGGAAGGGATGAGAAGGGGAAACAAAGGAGGAGGCAACAATGCTTGATAAGAAATGTATTTATTACCTTGCTCATGTAATTGTAACCGTATTTGCACAATAAAAATAATAAATAAATAAATAAATTTTGCTCTATAATAGTTTACATTGCCAACATGGTTGTATTATCTATGGATTAAAGATACAAGTATGTTCTGTTCTGTATGTGTTTTCTCATATTTTTAAAAAAATTGTATATTTTTATGGGTTGCATTATGATAACTTAATATGTGTTTAATGTATATTAACAATTTCAACTCTCCAACCATTGTTCATTTCTATATGAAGGAAATTTCATACTTACTTTTCCTATCATTTGGAAATATATCATATAAATACCACTTTGTTACTTATTTGTTTGTATACAATCATTTGCATATATTATTTGCCTTCCCAACTAAAGCTTTTTTTTTTTTTTGTCGGTTGTGGGGCTTGAACTCTGGGCTTGGGTGCTGTCCCTGTGCTCTTCAGCTCAAGGAGAGCACTCTACCGCTTGAGCCACAGTGCCACTACTGTGTTTTCTAGTGTTTTATTGGAGATAAGAGTCTCACGGACTTTCCTGCCTGGGCTGGCTTTGAACTGTGATCCTCAGATCTCAGCCTCCTGAGTAGCTAGGTTTACAGGCATGAGCCATTGGTGAAGAGCTCCAACTAAAGCTTTAACTTCATGGAGAAAGTTGATGAAGCTTGTTAGATTTGTAATTCCTACAGAGACTGCAGATATAATGCTCACTCAAGAATTTAGTTAAATAAATTAAATATAATCCTATATAACTTTGCAATTGATCATTTTGTGTGTCCCATTATACATGCATAGATTTAGCTTCTAATATTTAAACCAACACTCAACACTATTGAAGTTAAGGACGGGGCATTTTACCCAATCAGCCCAGTTTTGGTGATGTCACTGGAGAAATTGAACATGCCCCCCCATCACACACACAGCGTTTTCTGTTCTTATCAGCCTCTCACAGCGTCTGCAGCCTTCAGTTTGTCCTGTCCCTCCTCACCAACATGAGGTACAAGTTCCCGCTCCTAGCCATAGGCCTGGAGGTCGCCATGATCATTTTATTTGCAAAATTTGTTCGATATGAGACAGGGTCACCTGTACCTCAGCAGCAAAACGCCACAAAAACGGACAGATTCCTTCCATTGTATCCTCGTGAGTAGGCGATTTTCTTTTTCTGTGTGTACTGTGTGTTCTCAGATGTAAAGTTTGGTGATTGTTAGGTCTTGAGCTCTGAAGAGAATTAGGAAACAGCTGGGAGGCTATGGAGGGCCAGGGCATTGTACATTTCTGACTGTGCAGGGTCTGTGCACTGTACATTGTGTGGGGTCAGGGCGCTGTACATGTCTGTGGAAGTAGCTGGTCTTCTCCCTGTCATGACAGTATTTGGATAGAATCTCAGACCAAGATTCAAATATAGAACAAGAAGCGTGAAGTTAACTGATCATCAGTCCGTGTGGGGGGGGGGGGGGGGGGTGGTACCTACTTACCGCTATCTTGCCTTCTTTTTTCCTTGAATTGATTACTCACTAATGGTAACCTGTCAGGAGAAATTATGGAGACAAAACTTGAGAAATAAGAAAAGAAGCTTGGACTCTCAGGGTCCAAGACAGAAGAGAGGGTTGCAGGAAAGAAAAAAAAAGAAAAAGAAGAGGAGGAGGAGGAAGAAGAGGAGGAGGAGGGGGAGGGGGAGGGGGAGGGGTGCTTAGGAGGATGTGAGTAGTTCCTGGGGTGGTCACTGAAAAGGATGAGCTCAGGGGGTTATAATATTGAGAAGCAAGAGCAGTTTGTTTCTCTGAGATACAAAGAAAATCGCGTGCACTTTACATATCATAAAGCAGAATCCTTCCCTGGGAATGGTGGCTAAAAAAAGAGAGAGAGAAACTGAGTTTTTAGTTTAGAAGGGCTATAAAATTATAACTATATAATAACTACCATTTACTGTGTACTAATTATGAGCCAGGCCTGTTCATTACCTTGCTATTGAGGGAGGGAGATAGTAAGACATACTTATTACATAGCTTACTTACTTTTAAACAAAACACAATTTTAGAATTTATTTAAAACTAGCAATGATGATTATACAATGTAACCTATTAGTGATATAACACTGTGTTTTCATTCCTGCATTTTTGGCTGCCATAACATAATAGGGAACTTCCACGTACAGATATGTTGACCTAGAGTGACTTAGCAAAAACTGAAACAGATGTGAGAGCAGTTAGATGCGCAGAGCAGCGCTGGGCTCATCAGTCAGACACCAGACGCTGTATCCACTTGCCTTTCCACTGGGCATGTATAATCGGAAAGTTAGCAATAAACCAGGATTGTAGTGAATTCTGTATGCCTCGTGTGTTTTATTCAATTACTTCATATATATGTGTGTATGTATGTATATATATACATATATATATACTTTTTTTAAGTATCAAGCATTTGTTCAGAGTTAGAAACAAACACAACCATTTCATGGTAAGGCTTACCACCTAGTACCCATGGATAGAAGGAATAAGATGCAGCCCAGAATAATAAACAACAGGCTGAATAACTGGCATCCTTCCAGCTAGCCCACCCAAGTCCCAATATAAAAGCCCCTAGGTAAAACGTAAAATTTGAGGCAAAAAAAAAAAACTGGAGGGAAATTACTAAAAGTGGTCATTTTTCAGTAGCCTGGCGATGTATGTAGTTTCTAGGCTCTGGTGTACAGTTCCATGACCACAGCACACGTTTTACCCTGGGCTAGTAATGTGCGTAAGCGAGGTAATTTTGACACCATTCAGGGATGCTTTATGAGAACTTTTGGGTGGAAATGAGTGGAGAACTTAGCACTCACACGTTCCGAGAGAATCACTCTGAGGACCCCTTGTCATTTACAAGGTAGACACTGGCAATGGAGCTACAGCAGATCACTGCTCAAGGACTAACCCAATGATCAAACTCACCATGACAAGTAATGGGAAAGACAAATCACAGTCTACCTGGCGGGAGCCAATGTACACAATACCACCATATAATATTCCTGACACAAAGTATTTAGTGTGATGGTGAACCAATCAAGCAAAGCCAAAGTACAACCTTTGCATAAAAGGTGACACAATACCATGTGGGAACCAATCATGGTGAATCAATCAAACAAATCCAAAGTACAAACACATGCATAAAAGGTGAAACAATGCCACAAGTCAGAAACGCCCACACGTGGAAGGACTGATCTATTTTAGAAATGTCTAAAGATGCATTAAAGACAAGAAAGCATATAAAGCTTGCATGGAAAATAAGTCAAAAATTGTATAAAAGGGTAGTTTGTGAGGAAATGTAGTTCATTTGCATATAATTATATATGATAATATGATGTGTATGTGTCCATGTTGAATTTCTTGGACGTGGTGATGATTTTGTAGTCATCTAGAATGGTCTTTTATGTACATGACAGGCTAATGTAGTTTAGGAGAAAGTGTCATCCTACTTTCAAGCAGGTTAGGAGAATGTGTATGTCTGTATCATATATATAGAGAGAAAGAACCATCATATAAAGAAAATACTAGTAATTGATCAATCTAGGTGAATAGTATTTTATTTTACTGGATTTTCAGGGGAGAAAGACAGTGACTCCTTTGTCTTCCCCAAAATGAAAGAACTGATTGTAAACACTTTATCCAAGCCCAGGAGCTTAGGTATTCTCCCAAGCTGTTGTAGCAACTTAAATAATAGATGAGATTCTTATGCCCTCTTGTGGATAAAAGCAGTCAAAGATTTAGTCATGGGGGTTGGCTCAGTGTGCCTGCGCTTCCCAGTTTATTTAGTTTCCTGGTTTATAAATACTAACAAAGGCATTATTCAGCTCAGCTCAGTGAACAATCTGGTGTGATTTCCGGAGCTGATGTGGTTATATGAATTTGATAAATGGAGAATAACTCATTCAACTCTTCATTCATCCACCAAACATGTCTGTCTCTTACTTACAGACTTAAATGACTATGTCCTGACCCCATCTATTAAGAAACATGCCTAGGGTTGTAGCTCAGTGGTACAACATTTGCTTAGTGTGCAATTAGGTCCTAGACTCAATCCTGGTACCACAATATATCTATGTATGTGAACATGTGTGTACATGTATGTGTTTATATGTACATGCAACATAATATGGAATGTATATGTGTAAATATGTATATATGAGAACCCTCAAAATAGTACAAAAGATGTCCACTTCACTGACTATTATAATGTATTCTAAATAAATGGTGCTACCTCATGACAAAGGATAAAGCTATGCACGAGGCAAGATTCAATAGTAATTTTCCCTGGAGTACTGGGAGAATGGCTAAAGAGGAGAGGAAGCTTGCACTGGCTTCTACCAGGCTCTGCTCGATTGGAAAATCGTAAAAATTGAAGAAGTCACTTCCCAAGAAGAGATTCGAGCATTGAATGGCTGCCTAATTTCTCATGTCTGCCATGGGGAGCCCGACTGACACCAGCTGTCTGCGTCCGTAACCCTGGGCCTAAGCTCTGGCCACAGCAGATAAGCGAGCCACACTGGCGTGATGCGATAGCAGCGTGCGATGCTAGGCATCCCCTGCTCACTGTTTCCAGCCCATGCTCGCCCCTTGCGGAGTTTTATTCGGAGCTGGTGGCGCTTAATCAACTGGATAGACCAAACTGTAACTCCTACCCTGTGTTCTTGTCATAAAGACGTGTTTTCTGTTTTTTTGGTGTCTGTTTTTAGTATTTCAAGATGTGCATGTGATGATATTTGCTGGCTTTGGCTTTCTCATGACCTTCCTGAAGAGATATGGCTTCAGTGGTGTGGGATTCAACCTCCTGCTGGCTGCTCTCGGGCTCCAGTGGGGCTCTGTCGTACAGGGGCTGCTCCACAGCCGTGGCCAGGGATTTGCCATCGGAATCCACAAGTGAGTGTCTTTGCTGAGCTCTGAACGTTGGTATACCCTCTGCACCCAGCATCATGAATTCATATCCTGAGATTTTAACCACTTCCGCAATGCTATTGAGTAAGCCCTCCCGAGGGTCATGAAGTCCTGGGGGCGGGGGGGGCTCCCGTGGAAAGGGGTTCATGTCTGCACAAAGTTCCCTGGGGGAGATGTCAATGCCTTCTGCCACCTTCACACCTGGCTAGAAGGCAGGAGGCCTAACTCCTCACCCGACACCAACTCTATCAGCCTCTTGACTCAGGCCTCCCAACCCCAAATTAAGAGAAATACCTTTCTGTTGGTTACAAGCTACCTGATGTGTGGCATTGTATTACAGCATTCCAAAAGAGACTACTTCAGCCCTCTACTTTCCAAACAGGTGCCCCGTTGGCAATTGTGTTCCTAGGTCACCCACTGTTACCCAGGCTTTGAACTGACTGTCCTCAAACAACCCTGGAGTGGTTGAAATCCAAGATTCCAAATCAATGCCTCGCTCCACTGGGATGGATCATCCATTAATGTCTATAGCTTTTCCAGTTTGACCCAGTGGGTACAAGGAATTCCTTGTCATAGAGTAGAAGGCAGTAGGGGAAGAAGAAAGTGCAGTGGAAGGAAGAGAGAGGAAGAAAGTGGGAAAGGCAGTGGGGAGATATGGGAAGTGTCTGCTGAGACCCCGCGGGGGCAGAGCCTGCTCTCGGATGAGCTGGGGTCAGGGGCCTGCCAGCCTTGTTCTCCATGGTTTTGGTTTAGGTAGGCATTGCTCTTCTGTTTATTTTTCTCCTTCCCTCAGCATGATAAATGCAGACTTCAGTACAGCCACAGTCCTGATTTCTTTTGGAGCCGTCTTGGGAAAAACCAGCCCCATCCAAATGTTGATCATGACAATTCTAGAAATCGCTGTCTTCGCTGGCAATGAGTATCTGGTTGGTGAGATATTCAAGGTAAGTGTAGAGAACTCATGTATCAGTTTCTGGTCAAGCCACGTGACAGCTACCCAGGGCACACAGGGGAGAAGCCAGCTGAGAGGACACCACAGCATCGTGCGGACAGCCAAACCTGAATTGTACACACATTACGTCATTTTATCTCTCCAAAGTAGATATTATTGTCAGTGATCTTTGTGAGCAATAGAACTGCTGACCCCGCAGGCTAAATGACTCCCTTTAGTCTGCATTTGAACCCTTATTTATCCAGCACCCAAGCCTTTCTTACACCAATGGTCACTTCCCACTTATAAAGGTAAATAGCCATATATAAAGCCATATACACAGAACTGTTGTGGACTAGGTCAAATTTCTTCCCCCTCCTTGAAAATGTCATTGATTATCCCAAGATAAGAAGTTAGGGGTTTCTTACCACTCTCCGCTATTTTGTTATTTGTACTTACATCTCATTGGAGGGGGGAAATACTTTACCATTCTGGATATTGGTGACTTGGTAAACAACAAAAGAGTTAAGGTTCCTGTTTTCCTTAGAGCTGGTCGCTGGTGAGAGAAACAAAACGTAAACAATGGTACCTTTGCCCTGAGGTGAACCACCATGAGGAGAGCAGCTCACCACAAGATAAAAAGCAGAACAAGAGAACGTGACCAAGAAAAAGATACAACCTCTAAGGCAATGTCTCCAGTAACCAACTGCAACCAGGCCCCACCACCCATGTTTTCCCCCATTCCCCAATAATCCATTCCATTCTGAATCGACCAATGGATTAACCCAGTCATGCAATCTTAAAAAAATTATCTACAAGTAGTTGTACAAAGGAGGTGCTGTTTAATAGTTTGTGAACACAGCACATCTTGATCGGTGTCACCCCTTCCACATGCTCATCCCCTTCAATCCCATCCATGAAACCTTGATCAGTCACTTCCACAAAGCCCCTGTGAGCATGGATGCACTGGGGACCCACCCACAACACATGGGTCTTTAGAGGATCACTCCAAATCTACACTATCACACACCCCACACACCCATAGACACAAACGATACATTATGGGAAGAAAGAGGGATAGGAAATTGTACCTTATTTCGAAGGAAGGAAGGAAAGGAGGAGGGAAGGAAGGAGGAAGGAAGGGAAGGGAGGAGGGAGGGAAGGAGGAAGGAAGGGAAGGTAGGAGGGAGGGATGTAGGAAGGAAAGAAGAAGGGAGGAAGGAAGGGAGGAAAGAAAGGAGGAAGGAAGGAAGGAAGGATGTTTTGCTTACTGATATTTGAATATTTAAAGATAGACACAGACTAACATGGTACCTATCAAGTTCAAGCATTACTAATCGCCTCTTTCAGTCTCCTGAAACCAAGGTGAAGTAAAGCAAGGTTGTCACACTGGGAATGTCTCCCATTGTATAACCCTAAGATTCAGTGTTAATAATTAATCTAGCTACACTTCAAGGAAGTACCTGATCCAGACTGGAAGTCAGCTGCTATGATGCTTTCTATTCCACTCCTATGGTTCTCTTCTTCTTTCACATTCTCTTTCTCTTCTCCCTTTTTCCACATCCCTCTCTTTAATCATGAACCAGTTCTGACATTTTCCTTCCTCCTGCAAAGACTCAATTCTGTATCTTTTACTTGAGAGTCATTGTGTACTTGCAGGCCTCCGATATTGGTGCATCCATGACAATCCATGCCTTTGGGGCTTACTTTGGCTTGGCTGTCGCTGGCATCTTATACCGACCCGGCCTGAAAAAGGGGCATTGGAATGAAGAATCTGTGTATCACTCAGACTTGTTTGCAATGATTGGTGAGTGGAGAGAACTTGTCTGCTTCTTGTCTATTGGATGAGACCTGGAAGGAAGTTTAACTTCAACATGGACATGAAGATGCCCCAAAGGAAATCTCTGGGCTGGGAGCATTTGTCAAGCCAGTGCAAAGTCCTGCATTCCAACCCAGTACAAATAAATGCATAGATAGGAAACTCCTTTGAATACTCCTCTGTTCTGACTGTTAGATACTCAGTGCCCAGAGAACAAGGCCTTTCTTCTATGGTCTTCCCTCTGAACTAACATCCCTTCTGCTGTGTTGCAGGGACTGTTTTCTTATGGGTATTTTGGCCAAGCTTCAACTCAGCCATTGCTGAACCTGGAGAGGCGCAGTACAGGGCCATCGTCAACTCGTACTTCTCCCTCGCTGCCTGTGTGATCACTGCCTATGCTCTGTCCAGCCTGGTCCAGCACCAAGGCAAGCTCGACATGGTAAGTCCTGTTCCTCCCAGTGGAAAATGCACTTAGGATTGCTCAGATAACCAGGTCAGTTCGGCATCACTGCTGGACTACAGGAAACATTACAACACAGACAAGCTGGGAGAGGATTTTAATACAATATTCACTCCTCTATTCAATCATTCTTTCATCAAATTCGCACTCTAACAAACTGACACACTCCTGAGAAATTTATAGACTTTACAATCATGTAGAGAACGTAGGCCTTGTAGACTCAGAGATAAAAGTCTCCTTAATAATAGAGATAATTGTCAGGCACTGGTGGCTCATGTCTATAATTCTCACTACTCAGGAGGCTGAGATATGAGGATCGTGGTTCAAATCCAGCCTGGGCAGGAAAGTCTGTGACACTCTAATCTCCAATAAACTACTCAGAAAGCTGGAAATGGTGCTGTGGCTCAAGTGGTACAATGCTAGCCTTGAGCCAAAAGAAGCACAGGGATCATGCCCAGCATCCGAGTTCAAGCCCCAGAACTGGCACAAAAAATAATAAAGTAAAATAAAATGAGAGATAACTGATCCCAAGGTCTTAGAAAATCTTCCCTAGATGTAAGACTTGCCAGACAGTAGGAAAAGACAGTAAGATGAGGCATGCTATCTCCCAACTTAAGTGTTCCTCTCAGAGACATAACCAATTGCAGGGTGGGGTTTTAGAAAAGAGAAAGAACATCAGTGGGTGAAATTCAAATAGTGTCTTTAATAGTTTTGAATTAACTCTAATTCCTTTGTCAAGGTTATGTAACATGACAGCACTACTGGGAATGGATGAGGGATATGTGGAATCTTTAGTATTTTTGCAACTTTTATGCCTTGAGTTAGGTCAGAGTAACATAGTTTCTAAACCTACCCCAACTAGTCTCTTGGAGTTTCTTGCCTGTGAGCTAAAGAAATCACTCTCCTCTTCTTCTGCTGTGGGAGAGGAAAGGGATACTAGAGTTTACTTCTTAAAGAATGGTTGAGGACAGGCATTTCAAATCTCTTTTGGTCACATTACTAGGGACACTAAGAGACAATGAATAAGGTCATTGACGTACGGAGGTGTGGGTCTCTCTCAAAGTGAGGGGCCATCTCCTCATAAGACAAATTGGGGAGTTCTGAGAGTCCTGCTGACGTGAGTTGATCTGTTGTTCTCCTTCCTCAGACGTTCTTTTGTGTGCTTCCCTGGCTTGACATTTGCTCTTTGATGTTGCATTATTATAGACTTTAAAAACTGCACTTCAGTCACAGTCTTCTTTTGGATTGTCATAAGCATAACTTTGCCTGAAAGCTACATGAGTAGGCAGGCCCCGCTGGGGTTTTAACTCTGTACACTCCTCACACAGTTTCTGTCCATTTTTTCTTACCAATGATCTCATTATTAACGAATTCACTCCTAAAGCACCCCGGGAAAAGACATAGCAAGTACTAATTGTTTTGGTTGTTCGCACTGACAAAAACAGCCTCTCTTTTCTGTTGTTGTTAACAATGGTTATGTTATTTTTTTATAGTTTTGTTCTACTCTTTTTCTAACCTAAGATCCCTCTCAAATTATTTTAAATTATTTAATATCGGTACTTATTTGAACTGAAATCTGCCTCCCTCCAGTCCACCTACTTCAGGTCAACTTACACACCGCCATTCCTCCACACAGGTGCACATCCAGAATGCCACGCTGGCCGGGGGCGTGGCGGTGGGCACCTGCGCGGACATGGACATCCAGCCGTACGTGTCCATGATCATCGGGAGCACAGCGGGAATCGTCTCTGTGCTTGGATACAAGTTCCTGACTGTAAGTAAGGACACGTGTTCTGAGGGCAATCTGAAATCAGCAGCCTTTTCTTCTCACATTCCAGCAGCAGATAAAGAGACAGGGCTCTCCTCCTGGATGTCATTTCCCTTCCTTTCTGAGGTACCACATGCACACACACCTCAGTCAGTGTGTGACACAATGACTCGTGGGTAACATGCCAGTTATTCATCATTCAATACAAAGTCAGTGTTACCGACTTGTGTGCTGCTTTTCTCCAGGACATCCCACTGAGGATGTTGCTTTGATGTAGACTGGTACAGTGAAGGGCTCTGTGCTCTTGTAAGAGACACGAGGTGTGGTCAGGGTGAGGAGGAGTAGAATCTGAAACCACAGCCCTTCAATCCCAGCCACCACAGAACGACATGGAGATTTTGTCATCAGTGTCGTCAGGTAGATTTCAGGTACGGCGGAGAGTTAAGCTACAGATAAGATTCTCTTCTTTTGGGTTAAGATGGAAATGGGAAAATGCAAAGTAGAAGTGGCATAGGTTAAACCACCGAGGGTGGGAAGAACACAGATCTTTTAAGTGTTCTATGACATTTTATACGATCTTTTAAATCTATGGAATTCATATTGAGTGGGTCATTTTTAGCTCCTCCAGCCCCCAAACAAACAAAGATGATTCTCTGCTTCACTGTAGGAACCTTTCTATAGAATCTATCTATCTATCTATCTATCTATCTATCTATCTATCTATCTATCTATCTCTATATATCTATCTATTCTAATCAATATCATGTGACCTATCTTGCATATCCACGATGAAATTCAACTTATTTTTTTATTAATAGCTTCTGGCCGGGTGCAAGCTCTCGCCTGTAATCCTACTCAGGAGGCTGACATCTGAGGATCATGGTTCAAAGCCAGCCCAGGCAGGAAAGCCCATGAGACCCTTTATCCCCCGTTAGCCATGAGATAACCGGAAGTGGTACTGCAGTTCAAAGTGTAGAGTGCTAGCCTTGAGCAAGAAAGCCCAAGGACAGAACCCAGGCCCTGAGTTCAAGCCCTCTCCCCAACCAAAAAAAAAAAAAAAACCCAAACAATAACACCAACAAAAAGAACAAAAAGCAGCTTCTGAAATTATTCAGTTGGGAAACTCTAAATATAGCTTCCGAAAGAATGAGATTTCCTCATCTTACCTTCGTAGCCGCTGCTTGCTAAGCTGATGATCCAAGATACATGCGGTGTCCACAATCTGCACGGCTTACCGGGTGTGATGGGAGGCCTGGCCAGCATTGTGGCCATAGCCATGAACATGTCCAGCAAGTGAGTAAGAAACGGTTTCCTTCTCGTTGGTCCAGTCCAGGTTCCTCATTTACCTGAGAGAGCAGAATTAGCATGTTCTGACCATTGGCTTTCCTTGGATCCCCATTTATTTCTCCCTGCACAGCTCTGTTAATTAGCTGCTGTGAGAGGGTCCCGAGTCCCACACCCCAGGGCGCAGGGGTCTCCTGTAACAACTTCCTGCCTCTCAATTTGTACCGCATCCTACCATTCCCTCCGCTATAGAGATTTCCTACTAGTTTCATCCTCAGATAACCATAGATGCTGTGGAGCAGAAACATACTTAAACCCTGTTACTGAATTCTATCCAGTAGCCTGAAATTTGCTTTTTGGCTCTAGTATCTGGATTTCATAGTAACTGTGTCTCTACAGTGTGTGAGGAAACAGGAGTCGTATGTGTTTTACACCTCTCCCCTCTCTCCATCTAGGAGAGAGGCCAGCGCACAGCTGGTCTTCCATCGTTATTTACTGAGGGGAGCAAATCAGTCGATCGATTTTTGGAGAGCCTTAACTTCTCTGTAAGAACAGTCTGATTTTGTCCTGAGGCTACATCAGAAAAAAGTGGTTCTTGTTTGAGCATGTCTAAGAATTTTCCTAACTCGGCTCAGAAGGTGTTTCAAAGAAAGAAAAAAATCTAAGACGGTAACTGTGACACCAAGCCTACAAGCTGCTAGTGTGCAGTGCCGACCTCTGTCCTGCAGGTGGCAGACCGTCGGGACTCCGGTAGGCGAGATTTGTTCCCTGGTGTCCAGGAAATAACTCACTCTTCCTTGTTTGGCCCCTTAGGTCCACCGTGGCCATGCAGGCTGCCGCCCTGGGTTCTTCCATTGGAACAGCGGTGGTTGGAGGTCTGATGACAGGTGAATGCTTACCTGGGCGAGGTGGTACATGGCTCTAGTTCCAGCTACCCAGGAGGCTGAATAGAGGACCGGGCGGTGTATGTCAGCTCTGCCCACATCTTAAGACCTTGTCTCAAAAGATATTTTTTTAAATATTTGGACACCTCCCTACACCTGAATGTCTACAGAATAATGAACACATAATAAGGCAACTGAAGAATAAAAAATATTCTAAACTTCTGGTGGCAAAGGTGAACGTTCGAGGGGATGAATTCACAGCTATTCTAACGATTATGCAAGTAGATTTTCCACTTCCACACCATAATCTGAGTTGGTTTCCCTCTGTCTTTACAGGTTTAATCCTAAGGATACCTATCTGGGACCAGGCACCTGATCAATACTGTTATGATGATTCTGTTTACTGGGAGGTACTGAACAGAATTCCAAACAGAAATGTAAATGATGGCAGCACGCATGAAACTTTTACTCACCTTGATGCCTGAGGGGAATATGATGAAGGCAGTGTGACCTTCAATCCAAGACAGAACAGAGGCAATGTGTCCCATCCGTCAAGCAGCAGAATTTGAAATAAGGATACTAAATCTAAGTAACGCTATCTCGACATCTTGTTAGAAGTAAATAGAAGATGGAGTCTTCTATTAAGTTGCCAAGATGCCATTACTTAGATGTACTATCCTTATTTCATTCTCCACTGGTTCTATGTACATGAAATCAAAGCATTGATTTCCTAGTGAGAGAGCTGCATGGTACTTCCCCAAAGCAGAAATCAAATGAAGAAAAGATAGAATTCAGTTGACGAAAGTCCTTTCACTCCTATCCCTTAAAAATATCTATTCATTAAAATCAACAGCGGTCCTGAGAAACAGGGTGAGATAGAATTCTAAATGCAAAAGACAAAAGCAATGGAACATTTAAGGTTGAAGACATTCAGTCAGGGCACCTTAAAAGGTCCCCAAATAACAACACAGCAGTCTCCTCCTAACCTGCGCTTTCTACCTCTTCATCCCACCGACAATTGCTCTCAAAGGATTTCCTACACAGATTGAGACGGGTAAATTCACAAGCACTGTCACGAATTATAGGTTGGGAAAGAGGAAATGTAGTCAAGGTGAATGAGATTGATATTCTTGTTCTTTTATTTCTCCTCAACAGAAACTATTTCTATTCTCAGCCTGTTCTAAGCTTAGATAACAATTGTAAGAAAACGTCTGTTTCAAAACTAACTTCTGACAGGCCCAAGAAAAGAACTATGACATGCCCCCATCTTGTTCTGCTCCTAGGTCCCTGAGCACAGAGAACTTGACGATCGATTCCCTGAGCCTGAGGACCACCGGCAGCAGAAACCTGAGGTCTAAATCCCATGCCTGCGCGCCCACTTCCCCACCATCAAGAGTCAAGTTTAAATAAACAAAAAGGGCAGCATCCGGCGGCATGCAAGCCACGGCGGATACACGCGTGGTCTCAAATAGCCAGCAGAAAAAAATGTCTTTACATCCTGTGCCATTTCTTGACACTTGAATAACTGTTTCAGTGCAGGGATGTGAGTGGTTTCTAGATGGTCAAATGGTTCTTTTCTAGGACTTCAAGAGTAATTTTGCCAGTGGGTAGTACAGAGTGAACATCTGATGCATATTCTCAAAAATGTCCCCCAAATAGACAGATTTACATAGAAAACAGTGCCTCCTAAGTGCACCCATGTTTTAATGTATACATCAGGTCTTTAATCCAAAGACTCTAAAAATAAGTTCATGAAACAATGTATGCAAGAAAACTATGTAAGGAAAATATAAAAAGAAAGAATAGCACTTTTGTTACCACTTTTTTTATTTTAAAACTGGTCAAGTTAGAAATGTTATACCTTTGCTTGAATATCCTCATTCTGAATTCCTTTTTGCATACTTACTATCTGAAAAAATAGCACAAATGCTACCTGACTAAACTCACTAAAGTCATTTCAGGGTCAGGTGATAGAGAATGTCAAGCACAAAAAACATTCTCTCTCTCTCTCTCTCTCTCTCTCTCTCACACACACACACACACACACACAGACACACACACACACACCCCACAATGACATGTGAGAAAATGTTACAACTCATGGTAGCTTTAAATTAAAACTACAATATCACATCTGGAACAAGAAATCAAGAAAAAGAATTCCTTTAGACACTTTCTAATATTATTCTGGAGGGTCTCTCTGGAACGTATTTTAACTATATCTCACTCCAAACCTCACGGTCCAAGGAGAAGAGACACAGCAATGCTTTTGATCACACGTAAGTTCTTTTTTTTTCCCGAACTAATGATGAGCTCCTGCACTTACGGCTGTAAGGACTCAAGGAATATGGAGGGATTCCACTGGCCCAGTGATAAGGCTCTGTTGGCTGGGATCACTCCTACACCAACTCTGTATCCAGGCGTGGGGTTGGTTCTCCTCACCCTCGACCTAAGAGATTGCATTGGACTCTAAGACAAGTAGCAATATTCCAGATTTAGGAAAGTGGCCCAATCTCAAAGGTCTTCACTCTATTTACGTCAGGAGTTACAACTTCTTGTCTGACTTCATCAAGGAAACCTAGAAGGTGCAATACTATTTTCTTAAAACAATTTTCAAGCTGTCATTCTGCATCAATCACCGGTGCTACCGTGTCCCCACAGCCGCCATCTCCACCGCTGCTTGTGCTGAAAGCGCTTGCCCCTCATTTTTTTCTTGCCATCTGTTTATTACTTGCTAAACTTAGAGCTTTGCTCTTTGAAGGGATTATCTGACCTGAACTGTCTTTGGTTGCTTCCCAAGATCACTCCCAATTCTGCATGTGGCATTTCTTTCTAAAATAAATAAGATCAGCTTCCTATGTTTCCAGCTGTTTATTCTTCAAGAGTCAGCTATCATCATTCATGTTTTCTCCTGCTGGGGAGCTCACATTTCACCAGGAAAGTTACTAAAGCTTAAATATAACAACTTGGGTTGCTTCGTTTATTGTCCGTTTAGATCACACTACTTGATTGTGCAATCATTCTGAGCAGGTGGAAAGATGGAAGCCCAAACCCTAGACTCAGTAAGCCTCCCACAGCTGCTCCGGTGCCAATGAATTTTATTGTAGTTAGTAATTTACCTGTCGGACTCCTCGCTACACAGGCAACCCTTGATAACAACGGCAGTCTCTGAGTCAAGCTCCATACTGCCTCTTGTTGACATTTAAACACATTTGTGGGTTGCGTTTACTTTACTTGAGGCAAACAGCCTTCTTACTAAGCGTTGTAAGAAAAATGTCCCCTATGTGTGGACTTTTCTGTCCAACTGTGATTCAGAACCCTTGTGATTTATGTTCAACAAAAGAAGCAAGAGACACATTATGGGTCTGCTTACTGCACATAAATCAAGCCACAGGTTTAGCCTGGTCCTTAGGGAGCAGGAATAAGAAGACTTGTGGGAAGAATATTGGTGAACATTAAACAAGATGCAAACTAGTTGCTTAAAGACTGATACATGGAAATAGGAACAAGCTATGTGAAGTTCAAGGCATCAGACATTTACATTAAAAAGGAACTAGATTAAAAGAAAAGCAGAGAAGTAACAAAATGTCAGTTTCACATTGTCAGAAAAATAAGAATGCAATACTTGACTATCCCAGTCAGCAAGATTCAGACACTAAAGCAGAAGAAAAATTAGATTTTGATGAATGAATGCAATAGAAATTTATGATGAATATCTGGTACAAGTATTTTAGAGGAATCTTTTTGACTAGACAAAGCATTTAAAAGTGACTAGATTTGATACCAAAGAAACACAAACACGGATGGGTTCTATGTAATTTCTCGTGGTAACTATGTATGTGATTTCCAGAATTTATTACAAAATAGAACTTTTTGAGTGGTCTTACACATACGTGTGAGAATTTTTTAGGCTGTTGTATCTGTTGCTTAATTTGAAATTTTTTATGGCATTAAAGTTAATTAAATTTTGTTTTTACCCCCATCAATTATCAAAGAAAAAAACAAAGAAGACTTGTAGAGTCTTTGCAAAGAAGGATGGCAGAATTTATTTTTTCCAGTGCTAGAGTGAAACCAGGGTCTCATGGATGCTAGGCAAATGCCCTGCCACTAAGTTGTGTCATGCCCAAGTTTTTAATAATGCTACATTTCAGTTGAGAAGACTGTTGGTGTTCATAGGAAGCACAAACACAAAACTCATTCTATTTAAACAGAGAAAGGGGCCCATTCTTTTGTGTATGTGTGTGTGTGTGTGTGTGTGTGTGTGTGTGTGTGTGATGGGGCCTGAACTCTGACCTAGGCACTGACTCAGCTCTTCAGCTCAAGGCTACCACTTGAGCCACAGTGCCCCTTCCAGCATTTTCTGCTTATGTGGTACTGAGGTATTGAACCCAGGGCCTCATACATGCAAGGCAAGCACTCTACCACTGAGCCACTTTCCCAGCCCAAGAGGTCCATTTTTAATACATCTTAAGAAATGCAGGTAATCATTATGGCTTCCATTTAATAAAAAGCCTAGCAAGAAAGCTTGCTGCCTCAGTCTTATTGAAGAGTGTTGTTGAGATGTTTGTGCTGATGTCTGAGGACCGTGCAATGCATCTGACCCTCGGGTGGCTGGATATGTGCTGGTGAGATACTGGCCAGGATGGAGCTTTTCTTCACTAGCCTCACATGGAAGTTCACCTTCCAGCTGCGCCCTGGAGAATCCCATCTGGACCTGAGCCTAACGCCCCATATCGACTTCACCACACAACCCGTGCCTCTCAAGGCCTGTGCTGTGCTGTGGGGTTGGACTCTGAGCTTGCTAAAGCCCCAGGCCGGCATTTTGCCAGCCATGAGGTTCTACCAAACACGTCAGGAGGTCTGGGGCCAGATTAGACTGAGTTCCTGTGCTAACTTCTTAGAAGCAAACTCCCGATCACTCTGATTTTCCAAGACTGCAAATGTACAGAACATTCCACAAAGGTAATCTCTGCTTACTGCTTTTGTGAGCTTTCCTTCAAACATGAAACTGACATGGTCCTCCAGTCTTCTAAGTACCACCAACCAAGAGCTAAAACTGGTGTTTGTGTGCAAGAGACTAGATGTTATGTTGTTTTGGGATACCCATGACTATCATCAAAATATGATGAATGAAGAGAGTTCAATTGCTAAGTGAGACAACACGGGACCTTTAGAGCATTGTTTTCCTTCTGACTAAGCACAGAGGGGTTAATGAGCAATGATTGCCCTGAGCCCAGCCAGCTTGCTGAAGTCAGAAAGGACTCGGCTCCTGCTCCTGGCATGATGGCAATGTGAAAACCCAACACCCCTGTGTCCAGTGCTTGGAAATCCCAGTGAAGTCATAGCAAGGGGCCCTGCTAGCAAAGTAAACACTGCTGCGTCCTCTGAGACACGAAAACATCTTTAGACTTTATGAAGTCATCTACCTAACTACATCTCCCTGGCTCTTACCCAGTGCTCCACAAAGCAGAAATTATACTGCACTAAGACAAATAGTCCAACAAGACTTTATTGAGGGGTATTGGAATAAGCCTGGTTGGGGCTCAATTTCACAAAGGATTTTTTTTTTTAACAGCGAGAAAAGCACTGGAAGACATTAGAAGAAATGAGATAGATGGGATTCATCCAGTACACTGAACTGACGCCACGGCCAGGCCCAGACCCTCTGCTTACTAATAATGACAGGCGGAATTATCATTCTACCTCCCACAGAGAGGAGGAGGTAGCAACTGTCTTTTTAGATGCTTCCATTTTAAATGGAAAGAGGGGGGTGGTCCACAGTCCTTGTAAAAGATGGTCTTGATCTGTGAAAGTTGAAAAACCATAAAAAGAAAAGACGTATCTCACAGACAAAGAATTAACAAAGGTAATTTCTTGGGTAAAGCCAGGAGAAAGACAAGTCTAGATCCAGTCAGGCTAGGAGCAAAGACAGACCATTTTGGTCAGTCAGTCCTGAGCCTCTATGTTCCACGAGGCATCTTGGGAATAAGGCAGATGAGGAGTTTCCAATCAACTAAATAAAAAGGTAACTAATGACAAAACGGGGCCCACCAACCTTAGTTTACTGCTCGAATACACTTCAGGGGTAAGTGCATGACATTTCTAATTGCATTTACCTTATGATTGTATGTTGGGCAACACATCAGCCAATTCTGTAATCAATACGAAAATTAATCGATGGAATTGCTTCTCTTTGCTGGGGGAACAGAAGTGGCTATGATTAGAGATCAGGAAATCTGAGATTCAGTGACAATCCTGTCGGCCTTTCCATTTTTATAACAACGTGATCACACAGTGGCGAAGACATACTTGGTGAACCTGTTACCAAAAGCTGGGGAGAAAATTATGTTTACTAAGAATCATAAAGTGAAGCAAACAGTAACTCTGAACCTTTGGTTAAAGTCTGATATCAATATAATTCTATGTATATAGTTGGGAAGTCATGGAGAAATGTCAATAAAACTGAAATGACTGCAGATGAATAAAATAAGGAAGTTTAATTATAGTACTCAGGTAAAGTCCTACTTTCTTAATGTGGATCTTTACTTTTAAAATAATAACAACAACAACAAAGAACTGGGCTTTGGAGGCGCACACCTGTAATCCTAGCCACTCAGGAGGCTGAGATTTTAGGATTGAGGTTCAAAGACAGCCCTGGCAGCAATTATCTCAAATTAACCACTAAAAAGCCAGAAGTGGGTAGAGCACCAGCCTTGAGCAAAGAAACTCAGAGACAGCACTTAGGTCGAGTTCAAGCTTCAGGACCAGGACCAAAACAATCAAACAAATAAAAACAACAAAAAAGAATAAATTTCATATTAAGGCTACTCAAATCCGGTAAAATGATGTACCTATGAACTACATTTAGTTACATAACAAAAATTATCACATTTTATTGTTCCCTAATGTACATTCAAGATGTAAGCCTTATATAATATCTCAACAGATACAACTTGAGCATTTTTCCTTTGGTCACTACAGTGAATAACATTCAATATGTAGCTGTTCATA